TTTACATTGTTTCTTGAAGACTGGGGCTTTTTAATTGCTTCAAATTTGAGATCTTCAAATCTGGTTACTATATCATGCACTGGCTTAAGCTTGCAAAGCTTTCTCCCCAGCCCATGCAAATGTCCAGTGCCAGGATGGACAGGTCCTCCAGATGCCCCCCACAGTCCAACTCCAATCCTGTCCAGGACGGTTTGTTGCTATACGGGCCCAGCAGTGACATTCATGTTACCCAGTGAGGACAGCTGAGGGACCTGGAAGAATCACTGCTCCTGAGCATCTTTAGCTCTGCTGTCCTGGCTGGATTCAAAACATTTCCCTGTTGTGGCCATTTTGACTCTGGGGAGGAGCCAGAACTGGTGACTCAGGTAGATGAGGACACAGCGAAATGCTTTTCGGATCCTGCTTCTCCATTGGGTGGTGCTCAGTGGTGCATTCATTGTATTTTCTTTCTTTCTTCCTTCCTTCCTTCCTTCCTTCCTTCCTTCCTTCCTTCCTTCCTTCCTTCAAAACATTTCCCTGTTGTGGCCATTTTGACTCTGGGGAGGAGCCAGAACTGGTGACTCAGGTAGATGAGGACACAGCGAAATGCTTTTCGGATCCTGCTTCTCCATTGGGTGGTGCTCAGTGGTGCATTCATTGTATTTTCTTTCTTTCTTCCTTCCTTCCTTCCTTCCTTCCTTCCTTCCTTCCTTCCTTCCTTCCTTTCTTTCTTTCTTTCTTTCTTTCTTTCTTTCTTTCTTTCTTTCTTTCTTTCTTTCTTTCTTTCTTTTTGTACCAGGGATCTTACTCAGGACCTAGAGCTGGCCAGGCAGGTGTGTGCCACTGAGCTACATCCCAGCCCTGCATTCACTGTATTTTTGATCATACCTGCTAAAGACGCTCATGAAAGAGGACTCCAGAATGGCTTCGGGAAGTGGCCAGAAGGGTGGGGTGTGTGTGGACAGATGGGGAGAGTTGGGGAGGAGTCTGCTACCGCAGACATTTTCCTTCACAGCTTCACCCCAAATTTCCATCACCGCTAGCTCCAGACTACAGTGAGACGACCACGACCATGGGTGAGAGACAAATTACATCTAAGTGATACATATTGATGCTGGCTGTGTGGAGGGCCGTGTTCCATTAAATAACAGCATCGGCCTCTTGAATGAGTACCCAAGCCGTCAAAATTATCAGGGCTGTTATTGGAGCTGGGTGCGGCTGACGAATCTGCACAAGGTAATCTTTCCTCTTCCAGTCTGTGACCCCTTCTCCTTCCAAGTTCCTTACTTTTCCACGTGGAACTGTTCAGTTTTATACTAGCTCAAAGCGCATAGTGGCTGCCAAGATCACACCTTCCCGATCAAAGCCTTAGCCACTTGAATATTTAAATTTGTATAGATTTGTTACAGTAAAAGACACATTGCCATGAGTTCCATTTAAAATGCCCCCCTGGCTTCACACATGCTAATCTCATGGTTCTTGGCAATGAGCCCTTTACTGAAATAAGTTTTCATTTTTTAGCTTTAACATTCGCCTTGTCTCTCCACAAGCACTTCTTTCCCAGCAGCTTTTGGAAGCTGATCAGACCCCCAATCACCTGACCAAGGATAACAAAGACAAGACAAGGTCTTCACTTGTCTAAGGGGGGCCCAGGATGGTCAGAGCTCTTGTCAGGGGAGAGGCCGTCTCCTGAGCTCGCCTCTGTTTACTGAACACACAGCCCCTAGAGGGGGTGGGGGCGGTGCAGGGACAGTGCCGTGGGGGGCGCTGACTCGAGCAGGGTCCCAGCAGCAAGGGCACGAGACGTTCTGGCAGGAACGAACCACTCATTAACAGGAACCTGTTTCTTCCCAAGGGTTGATTTCTGCCTCTAGAGGAGCTTTCTGTATGAGTCACGCTGCCCTTAGCTGCACCACCGTCCTGCCCTCCAAGACGTCACGGCGTCGCGGCTCACTGAGACCTCCTCTGTGACCCGTGGGAGTTCTGTTCCCACACCCCGACGGCCGGCTCTTCAGGCGAGCCTTCGCGGGTCCATAGGCAGGCTCAGACTTTTAACATGAAAAGCTGATTTATGAATGTGTAGCTTGCTCAGGGTGGTCTCCACCATGTAGCCTCTCCTGCTGCCTCTTTTTCAGGAGGCCCCTCTTATCATCCACTGTTGGAACTCTCTTGCCTCGTGTTACTTTCTTGGTGCAGAGACCCTCAGGCCATGCCCCTGCCTAATGCCCTCAAGCTGCCCTCTATGCTGCATGGGGCAGAGGGCCAAGGGAGCCTAGGCACCCTTCCTGTCCTGGTGCCTGGGAGCCCTGGGTCCTGATGGTGGAGCTGATGTCACACCTGGGAGTGGGTAGCCAGAGGTGCAGGATGGTGGAGTAGCCTCGAGTCACTGGAGAGCCCAGAGAAGAGCAGCAGTGAGGCAGCTCTCCTGGATGCATCTGCTCCCCTTCCTGCGGGGCCTCAGGGCAACCAAAGGGTGGCAGTGTTTCCTTGTCACCTGGCCTGGCACCTGCCCAAGGGGTGGCTCTTCCTTTGCCTGGCTCCCTGGAAATTATCACTTCAAACTGCACGGCTCTGGGTGACCCAAGGGGGCAAGTCCCTGTGAACCCCAGTCTCCACCAGGCTCAGGGTTGCCTGAGTGCTTGATGCTGGTAGCACCCTTCAGTTCCAGGAAAGTGAAGCCAAGTTGCAGGAAACCCAGCAGGCAGCAGGTTACCCCAGGAACACTTGGTTACTCAGCACAGTGTCTGGAAACAGGGGAGTGGAATCACTTACTCCAGGATGCCCAGCCTCCAGCTCTGGGCTTCTCAGTGTCACAGAATGGCTGCTGAAGCACCAGAGGGCACTTATCTACCATGACACTCAAAGCCTGACTACAGGGCCTGGCCAGGGGGTCTTCTTTTACTCAGGAAGAAAAAAGTCTTTTCCAAAAGTTTGATTCTTCTGTCTCACAGCCATAGCCCATGGCCACCGATGGCTAGCAGAGGTTGGAAAGGGAGTTCTACCCATGTCCTTTACAGATCAGAAGCTGGGTGGGAAGGAGGGTAGGGCGGGTGACTAGGGCCCAGGACACGAGCCAGCTGTGAGACATGAGCCTCCCTGGTTCTGAGAGCAGTAGGTGAAGGCACCGGGCATCAGCTGGACCCCAGAGGACACCCGGCCATGCCCCAAGCGTGAGCATGACTCACACCTCCAGGCCACCCCTGCACCCTGCCCTGGGAGCAGCCAGAGAGGGCAGGGTATGGAAGGCGGTGCCCTCTGCACCCTGGGGACCACGGCCAGCAGAAGCTGCGTCCACGGTCACCACAGGCGGGGCTCTCAGGGTGGCAGAGTTCTGCGGCTGTGTCGGGCAGAGTCTGTCAGATGAGGCTTCTCCGGACAGATGGAGGGGGCGGGCTCTGCACCCTAGAGGGTGACCCTCCCTGCGGGTGTGCCACAGCGCACACAGAGCCAGCCATGCTCACAAGTGCAACCAACCAGGATCAAAGACGCTTGGAAACTTTGTACCTAACTGAAGAGGGACAGGCGGTGTGCTTTGCTTTGCTTTGCTTTTCCTTGCTGGGGATGAAGCCCAGGGCCTTCATACTGAGCTCACGGGCCCTTATTATTCTTTCTTTCTTTCTTTTTTTTTGGGGGGGGTTACCAGGGATTGAACTCGGGTCCTTGCTCTTGCAAGGCAGGCCACCGAACCGCTGAGCTAAATCCCTGGCCCTATTCATTATTTATTATTATTTATTGCTTTATTTTTATTTTGAGACAAGGTCTTACTAAGTCACTAAGTAGCCTAGGCTGGGAAGGAAATTATCATCCTTCTGCCTCAGCCTCCCGTGGGGCTGGGATTGCAGGCACATGCTACCTACCCTAGCTTTGTGTGTGTGTGTGTGTGTGTGTGTGTGTGGTGCTGGGGCTCAAAAACAGGCTTTCTGCATGATAGAAGAACTCTTTAGCACTGAGCCTTCTGCCTCAGCCTCCCGAGTGCTGAGATTGCAGGTATGGGCCGCCACACCTGGCCTATGGGTGCCGTTTTCTCTTGTCCTTAGTCCCTAAAAGGTTACTGGATGACGACTGTCTGTGCTCACTCACACTGGGTCAGGCAGTGTATTATGCAACACTCTGCTGCCTCACATCCAGGACTGGCGGGGTCCTGGACCAGCCCAGGGAGGCGGAGGGCTGAGCACTTGCCGTCCTGGGCAGGGGGCATCTCCCTCCACTTCCTGGTTCCTGTGTCTGTGGAGAGGCTCCCGGGGCTCTGGGAGGCTTAGGTTTTGGGGAGGGTGCAGGGAGGGCTGAGGAAGGCTCCTCCCACCAGTCAGTGCCTCCCATGCCCTCAGGGCTGTAGGGCAAGGGGTGAGGGAGAACCCAGCACCCCCAGGGTTCCAGCCCAGGGGGTGCAGCCAGCCGGAGACACCTGGGGTGGAGCTGGGAACCAGGACCCTCGGCCTGCTTGTCTTTGGCTAAGCTCCCAGGAGCCATGCACGGCTGGGCTTAGCCAACAGCTGCTCTTGGTTCCTCCCCATCCCAGCGTATGTCCTGTGCAGCATAAGGCCACTGACCAGGTGGCGTTGGCTCCCTTGTCCCCCATTTTCCTGACTGCCCTATGTTCAGATCAGGGACGAGGAAGGGTTCCCGAGGTGCCAGCCCCTGCTGTCCCCTGCATGCTCCCTGCTGGCCCTCCAGACGCGTGCCCGGGTCCCTGAACCGGCTCCCTTGGGGAGCAAAGGAATCGAAGACCAGAGGGGCTTGGGCACCCGGGGGTCGGGGGCGGACGGCTGTGGGGTTCGTGATCTGCGGTCGGGTGAGTGGCCGGCACACAGCACGGGCAGACCCCACACCCCGCCCGCAGGGACACAGAAACCCAAGGCACAAATGTCACACGTCGCTTTGAACAGGACAAGAGGCACGAGTACCATTCGTCTCCTTTCATTTTAAGCCAGTTTTGACTCCGAAGTCGGAGCGGCTGATCCACACAGTGACCTGGCCGGGCCGCAGCGGGGAAGGGTTTGTCTCCTGGGACGCGGCGCAGCTCCACCGTCCCCAGGTGCAGGAGGAGGCGAGCGGTCCGTGGGAGCAGCTGCTAGAAGGTACACTGTTCTGGGGGTGAGAGGAGGAGGCACCGCTGAGTCCTTCCCACTGGAAACCGCTGCGGTGCTGCGGTTCTGACTCGGTCCATCTCCGCGCGGCCGCCGCGCCCCGTCCACCCCACCCTGAGGTGAGCCTTCCAGAGCTGCAGCGACACCCGGTCCCCGAGGGCCCCTCAGACCCCCCGGGCTGCGTGGCCTCACCTTCCTCCACGACCTGCTGCTTGTGGAAGCACCACGGGACGCCGCGGAACTTGTCGCTGAAGCAGCAGCCTCTGTCCTCGCACTGCCCCCGCGTGATGCCGCTGAAGCCACAGTTCTGCCGCTGGCGAGGGGCCACGTCGCAGGCCTCTGTCGGCGCAGGCGGGAAGTGGAGAAAGTGCGGGCACGCGCCGCGGTGCCCACGACGGGGCTGCCCACCCTGGGGCCTTAGCCCTGCCCACCAGTGTCTGCTGAGCTGCATTCACCCGCTACATTGGGGCTACTTGGAGCAGTTGTCGGATGCCGAACGGGGGCCCTGGCAGGCGAGGGGACCCAGACGCCCAAACAGAGCTGCTGTCACTCGGGGGCTGAGTCCAATGGGGCAAAGGTACGAGGCTGCACGGTGCGAGCTCCAAGTGGGCAGGGAAACAAGGGGACAGCGGGGCCCCCCGCAGGACCAGGGCCAGGGCGGGATGGGAGGACCAAGCCAGAGGGCCTCCTGCGGGGGGAACGAGCGAGTGCTCCTAGAGGGTGCAGGCCAAGAGGGACGGGGGTGGGTCAGGGGCCTGGGCTGGAGGGGCTGGGGTCAGGCCACACGGGGTCCTGGGCACAAGCGCCTGGGGCCGCAGCCTAGGGGAGCTGCTAGGACCCCGCTGGGGCACTAAGGGAAGAGGCAGAGCCCCGCCGTCCCGGGTTCTAGAGCTGCTGGAGGACTCTGGGTGGCCGGGCTGCGTGGGGCTGGGCCTGAGAGTGAGGACATCAGTCATCCATCTTGCTGGCCCCAGGCTGCACACAGGACCCACACGTGAACTCCTGCACGTGTGTAATCATGGAACGCTGGGCATCTCTGTAACAGGATCACAGACCCCAGGAACCCCAAACAAGCTTCCGGCCTGGGCGGGGGGTGGAGGCTGCCACACCAAACAGGGGCTCTGCTGGGCTGGGCCAGCCTGGGGACCCTCTGTGCCGTCACCGCCACTCGCTCTGTCTCCCAGGTGTGAGCTGTCTGCTCTCCCTGGCCCCGCAACCCTGGGGACACCTAGGAGACCCCGGGTGAGCCGGCTCCTCAGCTCCTCCCATGCCCTCTGTGGGCACCCTCAACTCAGGTCACTGGCAAGCCCTTCCTGCTGTCCCTTCCCCTGAAAACTCTGTCTGGAACTTTATAGCTTGGGAAGTGCTTTTCTAGGACCTTGCCAGACTTCCTTTCCTTTTCTTTGTTTCATTCCAAGAGATATAATAAAAGTGTACAAGAATATCCAGGTCAGAAATGCTTTGCCTTCAACTCACTGCACTCATTGCCCAGGCTGGCCTCCTACATACAAGGATCCTCCTGCCTCAGCCTCCCAAGGGCTGGTATTACAGGTGTGTGGCACCACGTCTGACAGGAAATGCTGTCTCTGTACCCCGCACCAAACTCTCCTACCACAGTGTGGCACTAACAGCAGCACGGCATGAAGGGTCTGCGCCAGAAGATGGTGACGGGCCAGGGAAGCCCTCCCAGCACCGGTCCCCGTGGGAGGCTGCCTTACCTGTCTGGTCCTCAGCCAGGGTGCCAAGGACCAGCACGAGGACCACGGCCAGGACACAAGTCACCTTGAGCTCCATGGCGGCCTCTGGACTGCGGAGGAGACAGGAGTCGGTCTGTCTTTATAGAACAGCCCTGTTTGCCCAGCGCTGAGGCAGCATTTGCTGAAGGAGTCACTGCTGACTGTGATTGGGGCTGGGCGGGGCAGCTGGGCAGGACCCTGAGACTCAGAAGTTGCCGCTCCACCAGATCCAAGGGTCCCAGCCAGCTCCTCTGAGTTCAGCAGGGTGGATTCGGGGTGTGAGGTGGCCCAATTGTGTCCCTTTCAGAGCACTGGGGGCACTGGGACGAAGGAGACAGTGGGCCGGGCCACCTGATCTTGTCCTTTCCCAGTGGGCACTTGGGCCATTAGAGCTATTTTATTTTTTTGATGGCACTGGAGATTTGCACTGAGCTACATCCCAACAACCTTTTTTATTTTTAATTTTGAGATAGGGCCTTTGTAAGTCTCTAAATTACTCAAACTCGGCTCAAACTTGAGATCCTCCTGATTTATCCTCTTAGAATGCAGGAATTACATCCAGAAACACCCACCTCTGACTTCTCTTTTTTCTAGTAAGTCCACAGCCCTTAGGAGAGAGCATGGGCTAGACCTGGGGTGGCTAAACTTTTTCCTCCTTGCCTGGGGCTGGACTCAAACCTTCAGTCCTCCTGCCTCAGCCTCCTGGATGCTGGGAGGATTGATGGTTGTGCAAATTATGCCTGGCTCTCACTATTCCCTTGAAGCCCAGTTCCTCGCCCTTGAGGAAAAGCTTCAAGAAGAACCACAGAGGACCTGGCTTTGTCCTTGCGCCTTGGGGAAGGAGGGGTGGGAGGCCCCACCCCGGGGAATAGGGAGTGGCCTGATGGGGCATCACCTGGGAGGTGATTTAGGGAAGGAGTGTGAGCCGGTGACAGAGACCAGAGAGGGAGCTGGCGCTCGGGCTGGTAATGCTGCTGCGGCCCTCACAGCTGCCCCGAGCTCTGGCCTCTGCTCCCCCGACCCACTGTGGCATTTCCCCGGCCCTCGGGACCAGAAGGGCTGTAGGGTGAGGCAGCTCCCTGCTGCCAGGCCTTTGAGAAAGTGATAGAGTCGGGTCGGGCATCATGGTGCACACCTGTGGAGGCTGAGGCAGGAGGATGGCCATGAATTCAAGGTGACTACATAGTGAGACACTGTCTCAAAAAAAGAAAAAAAGGGAACTAAGTCGACGTGAGGAAGCAACCCTGGCACTCCTGAGGCCTTGCAGGACTAGGCAGGAGCCAAGAAAGGGGAGCAGCCCTGTGTCCACGCAGCGAGGCTGGGTAAAGAACAGGTGGTGTCCGTACACGCACCGTGGAATACTATGCAGCCCCAACAGAGAAGGAGCCTCGGCTTGGCAGCGACTGGGTGACAGCGGAGGAGGCTACACGCGCAGACGCGTGGACGCAAACAGATTGCCCTCCGGAGACGGAAACGGGAACGGGGGTCCCCAGAGCCCCGAAGAGATGGGGACGGGGGTGGGCAGGGGGCGGATAAAATCGGGTGCAGTTAGAGAGGGTGGGGCTCTATGCCTGGCGATGGCTTGGGGATTGCCACGCAGCTACTGGTGAGGTTTGGCAGAAACGGGAAGGGGAAGAAGCGGGCTCGGAGCCATCTCTAGGGTCCGTCTGTGTGGGCCTCGGGGGGGCCTTGTCCTTGTCCCCCAAGGTCTGCGGCCCGGCAGCTGCTCCGCACCCCACCTGCCTGCTGGACAGGGGCAGGCGACGCTGCTCTCTTGGCCGTCCTGGCGCTGACTGCGCTCTGTGACCTAACGTCGCGGTGGCCTTCATGGCACGTCACAGGCGTGGGCATCTGGGTGCCCCGAGGGCTCTCAGCACCGGAGAATGCTGACCACAGTGGTGGCACGCACGAGGAATGGCTTGGTGCAGCTGCCCGCCTGGGCACACAGACTGGGAGACAGACGATGCCCAGGGCCGGGCGAGAGACACAGTGCAAGTCCAAAGAATAAAATTTTATTTACAGAAAACAGCACATGGCCAAGACGGATGGGTCAGGGACAGGTGTGTTTGAGCTTGGGGAGGATTTAGACAGGGGTCCGTGGCAACGGGTCCTTGTCCTGTAGCACGTCTTTAAATGTGAGCACTCACCATCTTCCGTGACGTCCTGTGTTGGTCAGCCACCTATGGCACTGTCTGTCCGATGAAAACACAGCGCTGTGTCTTCAACGCTCTTCCCCGGGTCTGGCACCGTGTGACGTCCGGCTCCACCTCAGAGACAAAGTGGCCGGACGGTCAGTGTGAGGATCCACTCAGGACATCGAGGCAGCCACCGCAGAGCTCCTGCAGATGCTCAGGAAGGAGGGCTGAGCAGGGATGGAGAAACGCCCTGTGAGCGCGGGGCAGTGTGCGGAGCGAGGTTCCCGACGGTGTGTCTTTCATTATGATACATTTTTAAAATTTAAAAACCCATTGTATTTTTTTGATTGTGCCTCACACCTATAATTTTTGCCCACCAAATTCATTCCTAAAGATTTGAAAAGAGACAGCCACACCTTGGTGAGGAGCCCGCTGCGGCCCCAGCGTGATGTGAGGAGGGCGGTTCAGGTCCCTCAGGGACAAGCTTTGGAGCAAGGCCTCAGGAGCTCACAGCAATTCTCCTCCCAGGCCCTCCCCAGAGTGACCTGGGCCACTCGCCAGGGCCCGGCTCAGTGTCCCCTCAGGAGCCCAGCCCCAGAGCCCTATTTGGGAATGAGGTCAGTTAATATAGAGTCACTGGGGTGGGCACCGATGCTCACAGGGGACAGTGCCACAGAGACGCAGGGAGACAAAGGGGGACCCTCAGGCTACCCAAGTTGGCGGAGGGCGGGCACAGGCCTCCCCCCAGGGAGATCACCCTGCTAACAGCCCCACCTGCGGGACAGTGTGCCTTGCTGTGGAAGCCACAGAAGTCGTGGTTTATGACGGCAGCGCTTTTCAGAAAACAGAGACAGCCAGCGAGACCTCGGCACAGGGGCAGGAAATGCAGCTCAGGCCTGCGGGTCAGGGAACAGCAGCCCTGACCTCACTCGGCTCCTCCAGGACACAAACACTTGCTGTGGCCCACCAAGGAGAGCTGGGTCCCTCAGGTGACAGGCAGGTGTCTCAGTGCAGCCCACGAGGCCTCACGCACACCTGCTGGGCTTCACTGGAGAACCCCATGGATTTGCAAGAGCCTGGTAAACTGTCACTGCAGTGTTAAATCAAAAAGAACCAGACAGTGGGCTCAACGGCCATCCAGAGTACCGCGTCCAACAACAGCAGAACACTCGTTCTTCTCAACAGCACACGGAACTTTTTCCGAAATAGACCAGACTTTAGGCCATAAAGCAAGATGAAACAAATACAAAAGAACTGAAATTATCCCCTGCATGCCATCTTATCACAGCAGGAGGAAGTTAGAAACCAACAGCAAGAGAAGCCACGGAAACTGCTCAAACATGGGGAGATTAATTAATACATAATTGAATAGTGGGTGGATCACAGAAGGAATCAGGGCAGAAATAAAAAAAAGTTTCTGGAATCAAATGACAGTGGAAAGCCCAAGATACCAAAACCCATGGGCTACAAAGAGGCTGGGGTGGGGGTGGAGGCACATGTGCTCGCCGAAAACAACAACAGCAAAACCAGCAGGATCCCAAATAAACAAATAATCTCAAAGTACTAGAAAGACAGGAACAATCCAACCTGGAACTGATAGAAAGAAAGAAAAGATAAAGATTGGAGCAGCGAGCTGGGGATCTAGCTCAGTGGCACTGCGCCTGCCCGGCAAGCCCAAGGTCCCGAGTTCGATCTCTGACACTAAAACAAAACAGAACAGAACGGATTAGAGCCGAAATTAATGAAATCAAAACTAAAAATAAAGCAGAGTGGTGGCAAATCAAAGCGTTGGATCTTTGAAAGGGTGGAAGGGGAGGCGTGAGGGAGCAGAAGGGAAGAGGAAGTAAAAAGACCCCACTCTCAATGTGTATGTGGACCCATTCCCACGGCGACTGTATCGACTCAGTGTGATTTAAAAATTGAGAAAAAAAAGAAAGGAAAAAAAAAAGCACAAAAGACAAAAAGAAGTGGACATGAAAGCTTAAGGATGACTCAGCAGGAAAGAGAAACCAGAATCCAAGCCAGGAGAGTTGGGGGACAAAGCGGGTTGAATGTCTTCCCTGGGCTCTGTTTCTATTTCCTGACTTACTCCTAAAACGCACATAATTAACATTTATCATTAAAAATACTCTATTTTTAAAAATACAAAGTAATGGGTTTGATTTTCCCTAAAATAGAAGTCCAGGCATGGCCCCCCTCCTGCGGCCCACCTGTCAAACCCACAGGGAGGCTGGTATTTGACTTTGGGGGATTTCCTGGCCATGCCCCACTGGCTTGCTGGCTTCCGGCCTTTCCAACACACCTTCCCTGAAGTCAAACACGGCCGAGGTCAGGCTGAGGTGGCCCCTAATCTCTTAGATTCCAGGTGCCTGGGTGTGGGGCCACCCACCCCTGCCTGTTTTTAAAGGGTCCTTGCCCCTCCCGACCAAAACCCCAACCCCGTGCACACACAGGTACAGGGTACCTGTGGTGGGGACAGCATACTCTGAACCACCGCGGTGGGGCAGGGCCCTCTCCACCCGCTCCTCTGGGACCACCCTCCTGCCCACCAGTCCACATCTGGCCACGCCCACAGGGATGTAAAACCGGGGTCCTGGGCCTCAGGGCCAACCCATCCCAGCTGTGAGCTTGGGGGCGGGGGGAGGTGCAGAGCCCCGAGCCCCTGTGTCCCCTGGCCATCGGCCTGCCGACATCAGCTCCAGCCCATGCAGTATGCCTCGGTCGGGTTCCAGCCTCCTCTCCCCGAGGCGTCCGTGTGTGGGCGTGTTTTTATTGCGGGGCTGAGATTTTGTCCCTGGCCTGGACAGATGGCCAACAGTCCTGCCCCAACGGAGCAAAGGATGAGTTAAGAGCAAGTTCCCTGCTGGCAGAGCTTCCCACACTGGGCCTTCCAGGTCCCGATTCTGCACCCATCCTCTCCCTC